CAGCAACAGTGTTGCGTCAAACAACAATGACCGGTGGAGAAAGCCTCCTTCAGCATGTCATCATTGCAGTGGACCACATTGGAACAATGAGTGCCCACATGCACAGATGAACACCCATCAGGCTTGTGATAATGGAACTGATGACGACTCAGATGATGCGGACCATACTGAACCGGTAGGTGCCTTTAATGCAATTGTTGGCTCCATTTCTCAAGCATTAGCGGAAACCAATTCTGGTATCCGTAAGAAGAAGGACCCATGTCCAGTCACCAAGAAAGGGAAAAAGAAAGCAGATGAGGAGACTCCTCTTAAACAAGAGAGGACCTTAATGTTCGTTGAGATGAAGGTGAATGGCAAACCCATTCAAGCTATGATAGACACGGGTGCCACTCACAACTACTTAGCTTCGACTCAGGTGGAGCGCCTTGGTCTAGTTGTAGGGAAAGGTAGAGGTAGTGTCAAAGCTATTAACTCACCTCCCCAGCCAGTGGGTGGAATAACCAAAGAGGTACCGGTGAAGCTTGGTCCTTACGAAGGAAAATTCAACCTGCGAGTGGTGATCATAGATGACTTCGAGTTGATAGTTGTATTGGAATTCCTAAGACAAACCAACACCATGCCTACACCATTTGCAGACATGCTACTGATGATGGGAACCAATAGGGCCAAGCCCTGCATTATCCCATGCATGCCCATGAAGATGGCCGTTGAGAACATCTAGGCCTTGCAGTTGAAGAAGGGAGTCAAAAGGAATGAACCTACGTTCCTGGCAACCCTCTGCATTGAAGATATAGAACGCTCCTCGGGTCCCATTCTTGAACCCGTGAAGGAGTTACTACTGGAGTTTGAAGATGTCATGCCACAAGATATGCCAAAGCGGCTCCCGCCTAGGTGTACTGTGGACCATGAAATTGAGTTGGTGCCGGGCGCGAAGCCACCTGCCCGGGCGCCTTACAGAATGTCACAACCCGAACTCAGCGAGCTTCGGAGACAATTGACGGAAATGCTAGATACATGGATTATTGTATCCTCCAAGTCCCATACGGTTCCCCTGTTCTATTCCAAAAGAAACATGATGGCAGCCTGCGACTCTGTGTGGATTATCGGGCTCTAAACAAAATCACCGTGAAGAACAAATACCATATTCCTCTAATGGTAGACTTGTTCGATAGACTGGGTAGTGCGACGGTGTTCACCAAGATAGACCTCAAGACATGTTACTGGCAAGTTCGGATTGCAGAGGGTGATGAACATAAGACGACCTGTGTGACGAGATATGGGTCGTACGACTTCCTGGTCATGTCGTTCGGCTTTACTAATGCCCCAGCTACATTTTGCACTCTGATGAACTAAGTCTTCCGAGAGTACATTGACGAATTCGTAGTGGTCTACTTGGATGACATTGTGGTATATAGCCAAACATTGGAAGAACACCTAGTGCACTTGCGAAAAGTCCTAGCTCGATTGCGGGAGCATGAACTATATGCAAAGCTATCCAAATGATCCTTTTCTCAGAAGCAAATTGACTTCCTCGGACATGTCATCAAGGAAGGAAGGATCAAGCTGGACCAATAGAAGATTCAGACAATTAGAAGATTCAGGTAATCACAGATTGGCCGCCGCCTAAGGATGTCCACGCCTTGAGGGCGTTCCTTGGCCTATGCAACTTCTACCGACGATTTGTGAAGAATTACTCCCTCATCGCAGTTCCATTAACAAAACTCCTCAAGAAGGTCACACCCTGGGATTGGGGACCCAGGAGAGCAGAGGCCTTTAATGCATTAAAAGCGGCTATATCTAGTAGCCCCGTCTTGGCCCTCCCTGATCTGGCCAAGCCATTCGAGGTACAAACGGATGCATCCGACTATGTCCTCGGCGGAGTCTTGCTACAAGAAGGGCATCCTGTAGCGTACGAGAGCCGGAAGCTAAAGGATGCAGGGCGACACTATGCCGCCCATGAGAAAGAATTATTGGTTGTCGTCCACTACTTACGCCTTTGGAGGCACTATCTGCTAGGGACCCCATTCGTGGTCAAGACAGACAACACAACTGTTAACCATTTCATGACCCAACCGAAGTTGAATGGTCGACAAGCCAGGTGGCAGGAACTCCTAGCTGAATTCCACTTCAACCTGGAGTACTGAAGTGGGAAGACCAATCATGTTGCTGATGCACTCATTGGGAGAGCTGATCTAGCATCGGTGTGCCTACTCGCCACCCTAAGGGGGAGTGAAGTAGCCACCTCCATCAAGGACCAGATACAGGATCTACTCACTAAGGATCCTGCTGCACTGTATTTGATTGATTTAGTAGGACAGGGCAAGACTTGCCAGTTCTATATGGAAGATGGTTTTCTGAAAGTGAAAGGGAACCGACTTTATGTTCCTAAAGGAGGAGATCTGCGAAGGACTTTTCTGGCGGAATGTCATGATACTTTGTGGGCCGGCCATCCCGATGAAGAACACACCATGGCGTTACTTCGCCGTGCATATTATTGGCCTCAAATGGCCGACGACGTCGCTCAGTATGTGAAGACTTGTCTAGCATGACAGAAGGACAAGTCGGACCGCTTGACACAAGCAGGACTCTTGGAACCGCTAGCTGTCCTAAAAAGACCTTGGGAAAGCGTTTTCGTGGATTTCATCATCGGATTGCCCATGGTCGGAGATCTCACAACTATCTTGGTTGTGGTGGATCGATTTTCCAAGTATGCTACCTTTACTGCAGCCCCACAATATATATCAGCAGAAGATACAACTCGACCCTTCTTCTCTCATGTCGTCAAATATTGGGGCCTGCCCAAAGACATTGTTAGTGATCATGACTCACGCTTCACTAGCAACTTTTGGACCCAGCTCAATAAGTGCCTTGGGTCAAAATTGAGTCACAGCTCAAGTTTTCATCCGCAATCTGATGGCCAGACGGAGCGGTTCAATGGTATGTTGGAGGAATATCTCCGCTACTTTGTGACCGGATCGCAGAAGAATTGGGTGAAGCTTCTGGATGCTGCTCAAATGTGTTTCAATTCACAAAAGAGCTCCAATACAAACAAAAATGCTTTTGAAATTGTTACCGGACAGCAACCGCTACTCCCACACATTGTGAATGCACCAAATATGTCTAAATCTCCTCGAGTTGCTAGCTTCTCAAAAGAGTGGAAGCGAAATTTGGAGATAGTGCAGAGCTATCTTGTCAAAGCTCAAAAGCGGATGAAGAGGCATGCTGATCAGAATCGTCGCTTTGTTGAATACCAAGTAGGAGACAAAGTGATGGTCAAAATTCCAAAGCGTTACTTATTTGCNAAGCGGTACTTATTTGCGGGGGTCCATGACCCTCGCCTATTGCAAAAATACATTGGACCCTTGTCCATTGAAAGACGCATTCGGAAAGTTGCATACCGGTGGATACCCCACCTTGGTGGAAAATTCTACTTGTCTTCCATGTCAGCCTCCTGAAACCTTTCGGGAAGACACAGAGGATCCTTCACGGAGCCAGCTCACAATACCCAGTATTCGAGGTCCCAATTCAACCGAGAAAAGGCGTGTTGAAACTATCCTTGATGATAGAGTGATTCATGCCTCAAGGAAAGATCACCAAGAATTTTTGGTGAAATGGTAGGGCTGTGATGCAGAGGAGAACACTTGGGAGAGGGGAACAATCCTCAAAGCCTACAAGAGCCTAATTGAAGATTATATTGCAAGTAAGGCGTCGAGGACGTCGCCAACTCTGGTGGGGGAGAATGTCATGGGCGGCTTTCCATCTATGCCCTATGACCCCTTGGGCGCGCACCGTGGAGTCCTAGCAAACCTCCCAATGCCTAGCGCCACGGACGGCCCTATGGTCTTGGCCGCGCCAAGTGACAAGCGCGCATGTGCCTCTGTCGCCCCACCGATATCCCTCGCCAGCACCCAGCTGCAGGCAGATGCCAACAACGCCGCGTGCGCAGACAACGCCATATGCACCGACCGTGATGCCACAGACGCTGCTATTGACAACGGACATGTTTCTGCCTTGTAGAAAACTAAGTCCTTTTCATTGTAAATATAGAGTAGTTTTATTTCATGCACTTCCATTATGTCTCTCTAGCTTAGTCAAGTCTAGTCTTGTAGCTTTGGATTACTTTTTTAAGCATTATTAGGGTGGATCAAGCAATCAAACTTTCTAGCAAGCAAACAATTCTCTGTACTGGTGGTCTCTCCCCCTCGACACCGCGTTGCTTTTCTGTAATAACTTTCATTAATGCAATCAAGCTTTCTTTCATTCTCAATTCTCATTTCTGTTCTCTCAATTGCTCTTGACATTGGTTTTTCTGTACGTCACTGAGGTTTGTACTGGTTAATTTCTAAATAGCAGACCTTTAGAGTGGCTGCCTGGTGTCATTTCTACCCCTTTCTCCATATCCCTTAGCATGTCACAGTAATACGTCTTACAGGCATCATTGCAAAATGAAAAGAGTAAATGATTAGTTCTAAAATATCATGGAAGGATAGCAGATGCCAAGAGAGAGCAGATAACCAAATTAAGTCTCTCCAATTACATACACATACACCATAACCAGGACCAATCCATTCTCTCTTATCCCACAACCTGAAAACAGTGATACTAATACAAAGGTATGAAAGATGTTCTATATTTTCAGTTAGTTTGAACATAGTGCTGTATCTTTCACGAAACTGATGCAGGCAATAAGAAATCAAACCCTCTTTTGACCTGCACAACCACGAGTTTGCATTGGTCCTCTTGCAGTCCCATATTGCCTCAATAATGTTTGCTGACCATGCAAGTAGTTGTAAGCTTCTTATGGTGCATACCAATCACCAGCCACTTGGTCCAATAAATAATCAATCTACTGGACACACGATAACATTTCCAGTAAAGCAAGTCATGTATATCAGGTAGAATACTACAAACGAAGGTTTCTAATGCCTTGAAAAGTCAGAAAGATGACAAAGCCATAGTCTTTCAAGATAGAAAAATCAGACCTCACAACATACAACCAATTAGTCCCCACTTGCACAACCTTGACATCCACAATGTACACACTCTATTACAGCAACTTCCCTAAGGTGCTTGGGGACACGACATGCACAAGTAGTTGCAAAGTTGTGATCCCGAGGTTGTATGCAGTGCAAGCAGCAGAGACGCTCGTATCCAGGCTGCAAGTCAAAACATAGGAAACAGGAAAGAATTAAATACAAGAGACAGATTTTTTAAGTTCTAAAGGAAGTTGCCTTCAATCACACCTTCTTCCACTTTGCAATCAGGTTGCGATCCGCATAACCTTGTTCCAAACAGAACTCGTACAGATCTTTAGATATTTCATTTCTTCCATAGTAAAGGTCATAAACATATCTGCTCCTCTGATGCGCAACCTTGAATATGGGCCAGAGTGCTTCACACTTTCTTTTACCATCATTAGGGTCATTGCCAGCTTTCAAAACCCAGAAAACAGAGTTAATAGTCTGAAAATTCCAATCAACAAAATAAGACAAAAAAGAATATGTAATTCTACCTTGCATCAAATTACTAACCTTCTCTCATTTTAGCATCCAGCTCATGTAGGGTAGGCTCAATCAGCTCCCAACCCTCGGGGTATTTTATATGATTTGTCTTGACTCTAGGCATTTTTCAGCTGCAAATTAAAAAAAAGAAAAAAGAAGAGAGACTTATTTCATCAAGACAAGGTGAAGAGAGTAGTAACAGCCCCTACCATATCTGCTTTATTATCAAATCAAGGATGTATTTTATTCACAGAAATAGGGGCTTCATTGATCCAATCTACTCTCTGCAGTAAAACGCATCTAGTACATAGATGAATCTTGCAAGTTTCCATGTGTTAGACATTCCTCACTTAAACCTATTTATCCGAAACCAGCCACTTCAGGCAGCACCATTTGCTTTCCAAACCTTTTTCCATGGCGAATGGACCACTATTCAAGCATACTTTCTCGGAAACCATTCATAACATGCCTTAACTGAGAAATTCACACCTTCATGCTGATATTGGAATCATATTGTTTTCCCTCAGTAAGATCCACTCTAGTTTGAAAATCAGCACTCTAATATTTTCCATCTTTCGGTCCTATAGATTATCTAGTTTGAAAATCAGCCCTCTAACACTTTCCATCTTTCAGTCCTGTAGATCTCTTCTAAACTGCAGGATCCGACATCATCATTCAGGAAGTTAGCCAACGTGTGATCTAAGTCAATTACCAGACAATAGGAATTGAACACCTCCCTCAGTCTATGTTTATCCAGCCACTTATCCTATCAAAGCCTAATCCTTTTACCAAAGCTCACCTTTAGTTTAATTACTTCCGAGGACTCCAAACTTAGATTCCTTATCTACACAGCCACCATAACAAGCATGTAGAGCTTTTGTACACCATTGTCCATCCACCATATGTTTGGCTTTGATTAACCCATTCCAAGCTCTTCCTTTTGCAGAACTAGCACAGCCATTTGAAGCTTTTTTATGAAGCCTCTCCAAGCTCTTCCTTTTTGCAGAATTACCACAGCCATTTGAATAGAAGGCTCTTGTTATAAAGCCGTAGGTTCTTCACTCCTACTCCTCCACTGGTTTTTGCTTTAGTCAGTGTGGAGCATTTGATCAAACAAACCTAATTTCTTTCATATCTTAAGCAGTCCAGTTGTTTCTCAACTTCAGTAAGAATTTGAACATGGGACATTGCATATATAGGAGTCCTTACATTCAGTTTTTTCGATATTACAAAATGTCTTCAAGATTCATAGCTACATGATTAACAGGAAAACAACAGGAAATATCAAGTAACGAACAAGCTCTTTCTTTTTTATGGTCAGTATGTGCTTGCTTAAGTTATATTTCCAGCCTTCATTTTTCGCGTTTACATTCCCATTTCTTTTCACTTTTAAATTTTGGGGCTGAGGTCGTTGGTTAGTCAAGGTATCAGTAAGTCATTCATGGGAAAATCTTTCACTTCAAATGAGGTCTTTGAATTGAAGAAAGTTAAAAACTACCTTCTCTTTAGGACAAATAATTCTACAAGATATCAGGGGTTGACGGTCTTCAAAGAATAGATGGGGCTGTTTAAATCCAAACGGTGGCTATAAGAGCTAATAAAACAGCAGATTCGTGCAGCAGAAAGGGAAAAGTTCAATGTTTCTTTGTAGGCACAGAAATCCAATGTTGGTACTAAAACAATCCTCCTTCCTTTCTAATTACTAACTCAAAACAATAAAATCTGAACCACAAAGCAAAGTCGCCACCACCAATTTACACCACAATAAATTACTCCATAAATATCACACAAAATCAAGAGCATTCAAAAAAGGAGGCAAACCTTCAGAAATATCGTCTTAAAATCAATATAGTAAACAATATGAATATATTAGTTAATGACTTACCTAAATCAGAAAGAGATGGAGTGGAATCCAGGAAGTGCGAATTGACAGTCTAGAACTGGTGTTTGATGTTGAATATATTAATTACTTTCGCTGAAGCACAGAACCGGTGTTTGATTTTGAAGCTTCGAAAATGGCGAAAGGGGACGGAATGGGTTCTTATAGCGGACAAAGGGGCAAATGGCCAATGAGGTTTAGGGGAAAACGTTTGATATTTATAATCTAGCAAGTCGCATTAAGAATCTGCGATTATGTTAGTTAAAATTTTAATGGACTCTGTCTACTTCTCCATTATGCTAGTACTAGTACTATATGCTTAAGGGGTCGTTTGGTAGGGTGCATAAGAATAATGCTGAATATTGTGTATTAATAATGTTGGTATTAGTTATGCTTGCATTAGTTGTGTTGTCATTGGTTATGCTAACATATTTCTTATCCATTGTTTGGTTTGATGTATTAAAGCATACACAATTTCTTAAAGAATTGCTTGTTTACAAAAATACCTTCAAAACCAGTCCATAACTCTAAAACTTTTTAAAAGAAGCATATGCTGAGAAATATTTTTATATGAAAAAGTTTAAAAAAATTATTTGATTTGTCTACCTATATTGTAATATAGAACTAAATATTTATTTATAAAAAAGGAAATATGCTAAGTATTTATTTATTTACTAGAGATATAATTTTATTTCTCACTATTTGAATTATTTTAAACTTGCATTAATATAATTGTGGGCATATAAATTTTGTTAAAATTAAATTCATTAAATAATTTGGACTATATTTTAAATTCAAGATATATTGGTCCAAATAAATATTATGGGCTAATATAATTGAATTAATTATTTAAGTCCAATAAATATTGACTGGGCTAGCCCATTTAATTGGGCTACAAATGATGAGCCCATCTCATTAGGCCCAAGAAGTCATCTTTCTAGAGGCCCAATGTCACGCGTCAAATGACGTGGCACGCCAAGTCAAACGAAAGAGCCAATAGGATCATGCCATGTGTCAAAATGACAAAGCATGCCCAGTCACACTAAAAGGCCAATGAAATCACGCCACGTGCGCAAGTGACATGTTCTGGCCAATCAAATGTGGCCATGTCACATTTCAATTTGATTGGTCGGAAAGAGTTTGTTCTTATCACAACTCCTCCTTTCCACAACTATAAATAGGGGTCTTCATAACTCAAAAAAGATACCAGAAGTTATAACAAGAAGTAAGAGAGAGTTCGTGGATCAAACACCGCAAATTTTTCTACAAGTTTCAAGCTTCAAGCAATCAAGTTCAAGTTCAAGAAATCAAGTTCAAGCTCAAGAACGAAGAACAATTCAAGTATTCAAGATCAAGAACCAAGTCAAATCAAATACAAGGCGTTCAAGATCAAGGCTACTTGTTTGTGATAAAATTCGTGGCAACAATCAAAGTGTTTGTGACGGATAAATTAAATTACAATTCAAGATCAATCTCAAACGCCCTTGAACTTATACTAGAAAAGTAGAATCAGAGGAATCATAGAGATTGTAACACTCATATTACTTGAAATCAAATACTACGATTGTTGCGATATTTTTCGGTCTTGATTTTATTTTCTTGACCCAAATTTATTGTCTACAAATTCTGGCACGCCCAGCGGGACAATCTCTACCCCTCATCTCAACTTTTCAATCACCAAAGTTCAAGAACATTGAAATGGCTTCGAAGAAAATCAACTCCAGATCAACATCCACCAAGGCTGCTAACTCCAGGTTCTATGCTGACGTGGAAAGCATCCTCGATGTCACCTTTGGAAGCTTCGGACCAGTTACGAGGAGCAAAGCAAGCTCTTTAGGACAACAAGCACCCCAAGTGTCGTCCGCATCAACCCCTGTTTTTGGATCTTCATCCTCAAAAGGAGCAAGATCTTCCACAAACGCATCTGAAGGAGGAAGCGATGTTGCTGAAAAGATCAAGAAAACTTTTGCTCTACTTGACCTCTCCGGCTCCAAGCACTCTGCTGTGAAGGAAGATGATGATGCTTCAAGCGATGGATCCTCCCCACTTACACCACATAGTGTGAGCCAGTCAAGGATCAATCTATGTAAAAATCCATGCTACTCTCCGTCATCCACGACAATCATGCAAGCCATGGTGACAAACATTTCATCTATGGAGGAGCAGTTGGCAAACTTGACGGAAGCAATCGCTGGCTTGGCCAAATGCATGCAAAATCAAGAAGCTAGAATTGACAAGCTAACAGACAAGGTGAGAATCTTGATGGAAGAAGAATCTACCCATGCATCCGGCAAACTCCCAGAAGTTCTAGAGAGTGACTCTCCCCCAAGACAAGCAACATCCACTAAGGCTATCCCTGTCTCATCTGAAGGGATGATTCCAATCGATCAACTGAAGGAGTTCATCGAAGGAACCATTAAGAACAAATATGAAGTTGCTACCAAATCCTCTCTTACATATGCAAAGTCGTACATTGCAAGGTTCGATATGTTGAAGATGCCTGCTGTCTATCAACCTCTGAAGTTTCAACAGTTTGATGGTAAAGGTAACCCAAAGCAACATATTGCGCACTTCATTGAGACGTGCAACAATGCTGGGACTTATGGAGATTACCTCATCAAGCAGTTTGTTCGCTCGCTAAAAGGAAATGCTTTTGACTGGTACACGGACCTCGAGGCTGGATCTATCGACAGTTGGGATCAACTAGAGCAAGAGTTCCTCAATCGCTTTTATAGCACAAGACGCACGGTGAGTATGATAGAGCTTACAAATACTCGTCAACGAAAGGGGGAACCAGTTATCGACTTTATCAATCATTGGAGGAATGCAAGCCTCAACTGCAAAGACAGGCTTAGTGAAGCTTCAGGCATAGAGATGTGCATCCAAGGCATGCATTGGGGATTGCGCTACATCTTGCAAGGTATCAAGCCTAGCACATTTGAAGAACTTGCAACTCGTGCCCATGACATGGAATTGAGCATGGCTTCCGCTGGAAATGAAAGGCTACCCATCTATGAACCTCACAAAGTGAATGACAAGCAAGAAGTCAGGAAGTGGGGCAAGTTCGCACCCAAGTTTGAAAGCAAAGAAGCTATGAATGTCAATACGTCACTTGTGAAGTTCACGACGAAGAAGAGCAAGAAGCAGAGTATGAAATCCACTTCGTTTCAAGATAAGCCAAGTGGGAAGCTGACTCTAAAAGAAATGCAAGAGAAAGAGTACCCATTCCTGGATTCTGATGTGCCAGC